TTCAAAGTGACATTTTCGAAAAAGTAAATCAGCAGAAATACTCAGAATTCGATGCTGATTCCAAATATGTAAGTTTTATTGTGATTTGGTTTGGTCGGGATGATCGGCTTATCGGCCCTCGTCCTTTCTTTTAATATGTAGACGTAATTGATGGATACTATCAGCACGATATCGACGATTATTAAATTTACATAATACTTTTAATATTTCTTAAATTTTATCATTATCTATTTGTTCATTTGTATCGCGTATATATTTACGATAGCGAACCATTTTTTCATAATAGGGATAATATATTTTATGCATTTTTATAAGATGTTCGTTACAATTTTGTTTTTAGTTTTTTTATTATAACGTAATGATTCTGTTGCTTTAATAATAATTTTATTTAATACTCTACTTCTTTCAAATGCATCATTTAATTTTTTTAAATTCCATCCACTATATTTAGTATATTCTATAATTTGAACATAAATGGTCCATTCAAAATTTTCTTTTGGTAATTCTGGACGTATATTATTACTAAATAATTGCCATAGAAAGGAGACAGGAACATTACCAGAAGCAGAATATGTTAATAAATTACATAATAAACATCGAATATTAATACAAAATGTATTATTAAAATTATTAATATTAACATCATTTTTTCGTCTTTTAACTAATTCATCAATAGCTGCTAATGTAATATATATTAAAAATCAAGTAATATTTTTATCTTGAGGTTGTATATTCAATTGTAATCTTCTAATACAAACGCATTTGATATTGTATTTCTTGATATAATACGAAATGCTGCTATATCACTATTAACCAACGAATTAAATGTTATGGGTCATGTCCTAATTTTTTCGCTCGAAGTTCAGTTCTCCTTTATTTATTCAGACTAGAAAAGTTGTAATTTTTATCTTTTTCAATAAACAGTTAAATCGTATAAGTTGTCTTGATATTCGGAGCCATTCGGAACCTGTACGAACGAGCAAAATTAGTAAACTTTCTCCTGAAGGGTTTAGGAAAATGGAACTATTCAGAACGAATGAGGGTTTCGGAGAGTTCCTAAACCCTCTCAGAAACGCATTTTTATGTAAACTCCTAAACCCTTATTCGTTCTGTATGGTTTCATTTTCCTAAACCCTTAAAAGTTTTTTAAACTACACTTTCTTTTTAGAGTGCACTCTCTAAAAAAAAGGTTTATTACGAAACTTGAAACGATATAGAGAAGTGCAATCATTTCTAAACCCTTTTAGGTTTCGTAGAAGACATGGTGCAGTAAGAAACCGTTTAAGCGCATAAATTCTAGCAGTTTTTTTTCTAAAAGGTTTTTTTCCAGCAAGTGGAACATTTCAGCAGCTTAGGCGTGTTTTCATTGTATAGGACGGCGAAAACTGAGCCCAAAAAATACCTGAAATTTCTGTAGTTTTTGATTTTTTGCGAAAAAATCATGAGGAAAAAACATAACGAAATAAGCAAATGCACTGATCAACATTTCAATGCACTTAAAACGGTTTCGTACTGGACCTTGTCTTCTACGAAACTGAAAAGGGTTTAGAAATGGTTGCACTTCTCTATACCCTTTTAAGTTTCGTAATAAACCTTTTTGTTTTTAGAGAGTACGCGCACTGACATAATTTGGTATAGTTTTATCTATAACAGAACCTATCTATGACATCAACAACATGTACACTTGTATTGTTTCAAAGGCTTGAACAAGTCATTTAACGTTTGAACGCTAATTATTATTAGTGAAAACATTTGTTTTTAGCTGATGTACCTACGACGACTACGGGATTTCCAGAATATTAATGTACCAGTTTCAATATTGTTTTTGCATTTTCGTGTTTTTGAAAATCGGTTATGTTTTAATGTAATGGTTTTGGGTTTGTTCATTCTCATTCAGTATATAACTACTATCTATTTCAAAATATAATGAGTACACTATTTTTCAAGAACTTTTGATAGAAAGGCGGTACAATTCTGCGATTCTCACCATTACGTAGTAAAGACCTGGGTTCTTCGATGAAGGAAGAAAAGTCGTAGCACCACCGGCAGGTGGTGCATCTTACGTGTGTTTTTTGAACTTCTTAGTGTTGGAAAAGTAAGACATGGATATCTACGTTTTTGCAGATGAATAAGTACTCCGAAGTGGAGAACTATTGTTGTTTAGAGGCTACAGCTATTTTCCTGGGACGTACCTGGATCCGTCTACTAGCATCGATAACCTCAAAATCAGTGCCAACATACGTAATCAACGCTGCTGAACATCGTTGGAATATTTTCTTTTATTTCCGAGTTAACAGAAGTCCCTACAAAGACTTCTCTCAGAATTTCATGTTCCACCAATACCCGGTAGCAGTAAAAACCGTTTAGAATCATTCCTGAAACATACTTTCAGGAAGTTCGTAAAAGAATCTTATTTATCGAAAGAAACCACTTAGGGTAGGAAAAAATTTATAGCCAATCATGGTTTTCAGGGGATGCTGGAAGTCCGAAATCAAGCTCTCAACCTTTCTTGACATCTAAGGTGTTTTCATCGGATTCTAGTGGTAGGATCCAGGTAGAACTTAGCCAAAAAAAAAGAAAGCCGAACAAAATGTAAGTTAAACTTTCTAACTCAAAATTTTTTTCGACTTGAACTTTTTCTTCTGCTACTATTTCTGCTAAAATGTGTAGCAAAAGTGAGAACTCAGTTTATGTTTGGTACTTTCAAATGTGCTCTTTCTCGTGGTCTGTAAAAAGTCTTTTTTAGAGCAGATGGTGTGCTGGAGAACGGAGTTACAAAAATACGTCAAAAAAGTTGACACCCTCCCGTTTCCAACAATGTGCTCAAGCAAGACACAGTAAACATGACTGAAGTTTGTTTTTACAGTTAGATAGAGAAGTACAATCGCTTTTCTAATCAGAACAAACAAGCCCGACTGAAAAAACTTTTATTTTCATGGAGTTATGGGGCTTTTACGGAAAGCACTACTATACTCGAAATTTAAAAAATTAATGAAAAAATGCATGACAACCGATAGAAAAACTATTATTTCGCTGTGGCTTTTGATGTGAAAAAATTTGGTGCTTAGCTAAACGATAGAGCGAAGTCAGGGCTACAAAACGGCTAATTCAGTTTTTCTTACTCCCAAACGTTAACACAAGAAATCATTTTTGAGTTTACGAAGCTTACATTCTTTTCGACTTTCGTCTAATTGGCTTAGTTTTCTTGATTGAAGTTCTGAAATTAGAGTTTAGGTATGATTTTGTAGAGAATTTCGCAGCGCATCTTTTAAAAAAAACAGCAAGTCTCGGAAACAAATCCAGATCAAGTTATAAGTAAAATATTGAGATGTTCATTTATTCTGGGATACCCGTTATTTCTGTCTTTAGATGTCTAATCGCATAAGAATCGATAGTAAACTTTACTATCAAGAATAGAATGTTCGGAAGGAAGATGGAGCCGGAGACATTAAAAATGTCTGGATGTTTGTAACTTAACAATCCCTCACGTTTTGTTCCGAACATCCATACTTTTAATTCCGAACATCCGGAAAAGCGATTTTATGCTATATAGACCCTATTCCGAGCATCCCGTCACTTGGTCGGATATCCGAAAGGCCAAGGACGAAAAAGGACAGCTAGCCACAAAATTTTTCTCTCATATAAGCCTTAAACACACATCATTAGACGAAGTTTTTAAGGCTGATTACGAATATCAGCGTCAGAACGAAAGAAAACTGAACTTTTTTCGTTTTTAACGTCAACTTCCTTACCTGACCATACATTTTGGACTCTGTGGAAAAAAATTTTCTTTCTTGCTGTCAATCCAAAAGAACACAGACTTTAGCGTTTAATCTCTTATAATTAGATGATTATTATTGTAAATCTTAAATACAAATGGACAATTAAATTCCCTAAAAGATGTAAATTCCCTAGAAGAATGCACTATTTGTAAGTTTATTTTGAGCTCTACCAGACACTGTTATTTCAAAAGAATGATTTATCCCCGGTTGACTAAGAAACTCAAATTGGTTACGGACGATCATGACTCAGTAACGAAGCAAACATCGTTAAACACTAATTCTGCTCAAGCACCTGTTTCACTAATAACACCTGTTCAACCGTCTTGTCATGATCACCCCTCTCTGTCGCCAAATATTCTATTTGAACAGATGAATCAAAATTCAATAATCTTTAAGAGACGTTATTCAGCAACAAAATCTATTGCTGACAAAATTGATTGAACAAGGTAGGGTAATGCTTTCTCATCAACACAAATGACAGAGAAGATATTCAGTGACTGATGGTGACATTGAAATTGCATGAAACATACATAGTCAGCAATGCTGAATCTGGTAGCAATGCTCGTTTTTGAAAAAGAATTCCAGAACATAGATTTATGCTACGAATTTCAGAGTTATGGCTCGGTTTTATTTTATAACTAATCCTGAAATTTGTCAAAACTTATTTTCGTCTATTAGGAAGAAATGACACGCATTCTAATTGAATTCATATCACCGACAAAAAATTAAAGTTCATTTAGAGTTAAAGAAAAGTGCTTTTTCGTATTCAGCACACTTGGTAACCTGGAAAATTTTCTATTTTTAGCGAGGGGTACCGCCAAAAAGTTAAGAAAAATTTTCAAAATTGTATAATTTTGCCATGGAGAGTTTTCTGCGTCACTTCGTTTGAAAATTTTCTTAACTTTTTGGCGGTACCCCTCACTAAAAATAGACAATTTTCCAGGTTATCAAGT